GATAGAAAAGTTCTGGAAGGGGTGAAAACTTTCATGTAACTAAACATCATCATTGAAGAAAGACAAGGATCAGACGCAGACGTAAATACAAGGATAGGCAAATCAAGGACAGCATTACTACGGTTGAAGAACGTGTGGAACTCAAAACAATTGTCAGTCAACACCAAAGTCAGAATCTTGGATACGAACGTCAAGATGGTTCTATTGTACGAAGCCGAAACTTGGAGAACTACTACAATCATCATTAAGAAGTACAAGTATTTATAAATAATCGTCTACTGGAGATACTTAGTTTCTTTACCCGTTACCATCGGCAAGAGTCTATTATGCTTGAATACAAATCAGCTTACTTCTGAAGGTGAAACTGAGAAAATCCTATGAAGCTTGCTATTCAATTTCCTTTTAACGGACAGCCTAAGTTTACTTCATTTCATCCATTGGCATATATCATACCGAGATTACGAAACAATAGTTTGACCGCATATGTTAGTAGACATATACGTCATCGTTTATTTTTACCAGAAGTTCATGTTTTTCTATACCCTTTCATGAGTAATCAACCAGAGCAGTTAGTTAAGCGTAGGATAGTACCGTGATTTTTCATGCTTTTAGATATTTTAAAATGGAGACAAACTAAAGTCACGTGTATTAACGACAGGAATCCAATGAACGTGGTTAATCCTTTTCTACTAAGTTAAGATAAATATCTAGCTTCCTCTTGAACAAGTTCCTGAAGCTACGAACACTACTTCTCAAGATGGTAAGTTGCAGGATTTGATGAAGCTTTGAAAAAACTGTTTCACTGACAGTTTGTTTCTTGTTGGCTCTTTATTTCGTTTGTCTTCTCCTTTTGGTCATCCCTACCTAGTTTTAATGAAATGAATGTACATTAGATACAAGGTTATTTTATGGAATTCGGCGCGACAAAACTAAATTATTTGTTAATCTGAGTTAAGAAAATGTAGAGAGATCTAAATTTTTGAACCCGTTTGTAAATGGAATACCATAAAGTCCCGGAATCTAGGGTGTAAACTATATATTTTAGCTGCCTGCGAAACTGGTGTTTGTCGCCTGAGTTCACTATTATTGTTTGAATCTCACGAAAAACGGGTACATTGTGTAGAGCCTATAGGGGATAATAACAGTTGCAGTTGCCGTAATGTGGTTGTTGTCTTGAGATTCGGTATGCTCTGGGCTCACAACTTCTATCTAGAGGTCACCGGCCAGATGACTGATAGGGGGGCGTTATGAAATCCATTAACAAACTGGTTTAAAAACAATCATAAGACAGATATTTTCCAGATGCTACCTGACAAAATATTTTATTGTAGATGGAATGTAGCTCGTTTAACATGCCGTACTGATTTATTTTTTATGAGATTAAAGAGCTCAATCAGAAACTAAGAAGTCATTATATCCCTTAAGCAACCGGCTATATTTCCTTCACGCTGAAATTCACACAAATTATGATTTCTTCTTAAAATTCAATGACTTACACATGCGCGCGCCTTTCGAACAGGAACTTTATTCCTGACGTGATTTGCATTTCTGAAACTTTTGCTGTGTTCTTACGCAACAAAAGTGCCATTTCTGATCTAAAGAATCTATTCTGAGCTATACTTTATGTAGATTACTTTTTTTGAGTTTCACCCAACTTAATAGTTAACTGTAGTTTTGCCTCAGCCTACTATCAGTTTTTTTTTAGTTTTTCACGTAAAGAATAGCTTTAGCTTATCGTAACTCGTTTTCGACCACTTTTGCCCGTTTTTTGTGTGGTGTGTTTCTTTTAACGGTCCTAGACTTACTGCCTGTATTTATAAGACAGTTTACATAAATAGCCAAGGAAAATTCATGCAAAAGAGCTGGTTGCCGTTTTGCGGTTACATCTGGCATACAGTGTGACAACTGCAAAGGTTGGTTCCACGAAGCGTGCACAAATCCAACATCAACAGCCTATAACAGACTCAGCAGGTTGGATCGTAGGTGGGTATGTGTTATGTGCAACACGGATACTGTAGCTTTGTTGAGTAACATCAACTCCCTACTGACAGGTTTGAAGAACAAGTTGTCTGAGAACTTGGTGAATGATAGTAATACAACTGGTAGCAAAGCAGGAACGCGCAGTGTAAATAAGAAGAGGGATATCGACAGGTCTACTATCGATGGTGCAGGTAAAAGTACTAGTGATGACATGATGAAACTCAGCACCATCCTAACGCCGACGGTAATTGACTCAATTAGTAAATTTGCGTCTCCCAGCTCGGGATCCATGAATGAAACTGTGGTTCTCCAAAACCCCGTATGTGGTCAGACCCACGTTAAAAGGTTTAAAAAGGACCAGGCGTCACCCTCTAAGCTGAACATCCCAAATGTACGGAAATCAATTGGTGACTTGGCCGTAAAGTCTACCCCCAAGAATGTCCGCCCGGTCATCAAGGAGCCTAGGAATCGAAAACGCACTTCGGCCATTCAACAACAAGGTGCCCAACCTGGACGCACTGAAAAACCTGGGAAATCAATAACGGTTCGTGATGACCCCCAAGAGTTTTTCAGCGAAAGAAACACCATTGTGCAAGGTGTACCGGAAAACACAGCCCCTCGTCAAACAAACTCCGATATTCGGGAATGGAAATTCATCAAACAATCCTTGAAGGTCAAAAACACACTGACTCAACACGTGACGAGACTAGCCAAGAAGGATAAAGATTCTAGACCCCGGCTGATGAAGACAACTTTCACATCCTCCCATATAGCGGCTACAACTCTGGAAACATTTCGTGCCAAAAGACGTTGATTGCCAACTGGAATCCATATGCATCCAGATAGGCCACAGGACACCAAGATCAAACACAAAGGCAAGTTGGAGTTGACAATTCCACCTGTGGACTGTCTTGATTATAAAAAAACGTGTGAAGGGCAGAGACTACCAACTCGGAAATTTTTGTATAGGTAGGCTACCTGTCCACTCACATAAGGCTCATACAGACAAACAGGAAGAAGCTCATGCATTTCAAATTTAAGGCTTAAACTGCTTATACATGAACGCCGCGATTCTACCAAATAAAATGGATGAGCTACGTGAATTTAGCAATGCCAACAATGCTCATCTGACAGGAATATCTGAAACTTGGATATCTTCTTAGTTTATGGACTGGGAGCTGGTAATACCTGGTATGTCTTTGTTTCGCAACGACAGAAAAACAGGAATGGGGGTGTAGTATCCCGATACATACGATCATGTCTTGTGTGGTCGAGTGGATGACTAGTTGATGTGTGGCTTGATGAAACGGCCAATTAGGGAGCAGTGAATTATTGGTTGGAACAGTGACACGAAACCCGTACGAGCAGTCTACAGTGCTAATCGGTCCTGTGATCTGCCTAGCCCAGCCAGTTAAGTCCAAAACACCAATAACAGCCTCAGTGGTACGAATCATTATTTACAAACACACTGGATTTTTATACAAACCAAAGTAATCAATAAACTGATTTATAACTCAAGAATCGTATGATAATAAGTCAAAGGTCAAAATAAAGCTAATGATAAGAGAAATACGAATATGAATAGTTCAGTTACGTAATAATTGTACAATAGGAAATAGGCATATTACATTGATCCATAAATAGACCTAAAAGTTACCATTCGTAATTCACCGGGGGATATAACAAGGTACACCATGTTCATAACCAAAATTTTATCAATCTTGATGAATCCGTTTGTTGCTCAGTGAGATTGCCTACCACATCGAGGTGTCTAATTGGGGTCATCTACAAGAAGCCCACTGCTGACATCGAGTATGATGATCGTATGCTGGAAGGACTGACCCGCTCCACGCGTCTCGGATTCACTCATATCCTGATTCTAGGGGACTTCAATCCCCCTAGAATCAACTTTGCGGAACATACCTATATTCGAGGTGAAAACTGAAACTCGGTTCTTCAACCTCATTGAGGATCGGGGATTATTCGAAAGTGTGAAGATGGAAATTCGTTGGAGGAACAGTCATATACTGTCGCGTTAAGACTGGGTATTTATAAATGAAGAATGTCTAGCCGACGACCCCTCAATTCTGGCTCCCTTGGGGAAAAGCGATCACGCCGTCCTATCCTTCAGTTTTGTCAGAAAAACTGATATCCTACCAAATACAGGCACTGGAATTTCAAACGGCTAAATGTGCCAGCTTTACAAGACTATCTACAACAGGTGGATTGAGATGTTCACCCTCAACTTCAAGTAGATGCTCATTAGGATTTCTTATTTCACACGCTCCTATGTGCTATTAAACATTCAGTTCCTCGAACAGTCCCCACAAGCTACAAGCAACCTACGGTCATCATCAGTAAGGGTCACTCTTGCATAACCAACCTGCTGACTGCGGGGGACAGATGTACAAGCATCCTTCATCGTCAGTAGAAGTATGACGTCATTTACATTGATTTCTCAAAAGCTTTTTATGGGGTCAACCATATATGTCATATCAATAAGCTTGGACGATTGGGCATCAAACCACCTCTGACTGACTGGCTCGCTTCATATCTAGAAAACCTACATTTTAAGGTCATGGTTAACTTCAATCCCTCTCAGTCTATGGAATGTTCTAATGGGGTCCCCAGGGCCCAATATTATGACCTCTTCTCTTCTTGACTTATATATAAACGCTCTTCCGCAACAAGTTTCGTCTGACTTATTGTTTTTTACTGATGATGTGAAACTTTGGAGAGAAATACGTAATGAAGAGGATATACAAGCACTTCAGGAGGATCTGACTTCAGACGACAACGGACTTACTTTCAACACTTTAAAGTGCTAAGTAGTCCATCTGCGACATGTTGCAGACTATAGTTACAACTTAGAAAACTCCCCTCTAGAAGTATTCCTTGTCGATACAGATTCAGGAGTTTTGGTATCCTACGAATTGACATGGATGCCCGTTAAGCGAAAGCATTTTCTATTCCGTCCACAACCATTTGACTTCAACACTGGACCCATTGGAACCCACCATACTTATTTGGCGGGAAGCATAGTGTTTTTTGTTGCAAAGTGATGTGGAGTCCTGTTGTCGCCGTTGGAGGGTTACCTTGTCCTAGTGATAGGGTAGCTTTGGTTCGAAAGTCGCTGCCTTACCCAGAACCCTCCACTATTCTGTCACACAGGAAGCGAGCTAGGTTGGATAATCTTACCGAGGAGGAGAAAATCATCCGGAGGTACAGTTATTTACTTAATTTGTCTATTGTTGCAGAAAAATACTTAACCGGGAGGCAGCTCAGAAAGCGCGTGACCGCAGGAAAGGTTTGATGGAGAGTATGGAGGAAAATCTAGCTTATCTCCGTTGGGAAAATGATTACCTGAAATCCTCAAACCGAATGCTCCGCCTTAAGTTTGTTGAACAAGAGCAAAAATTCCAAGCACTGCAAGAAAAACTAAGTGGTATTATCAGACACGTGGAGAAATTTTCTGGAAGTCAGATTGAGCCACCAGAGTCAGCTGAACTCCTCCCTCTGCAGAAGGGAGTGGCTCTCTGTCTGTCCGTTCTACTCTTCCTCCACCTCTACAATGGCCTGGAGAATGCGTCCAAAACTCCAGTCTCGAGGATGTGCCTGAAGATATATCATCAACTTTGTTTGATGCTCAAACCGTCGAAGTCTCATCTCAAGATGTGTCTGAAACCAAACAGTCTGGAGACAGCAATTGCTCTGACGACCTGATTCCATATTCTCTATGCTTGTACGATAGTATCTTAAACAGTCTACAAGATGACCACATAGAAGACATTCCTGGATTAACAGATGCTTACAATTCGGAAGAAAGCCTGGATGAACTCTTAGATGTTTTAAAGTGTGACGCGTGTGATGATTTATCCACAGGAATTCTCTCTTAACATTTTTCAGACCCCGTGAGCTTGTCACTTAAATCCTTGACTATAGTGGCGTTGTACATATAACTTTATCAATTTACTTATTTATCTCATTGTCTTCACTCTAAATCTATCGTTTTGATTTTGATAACTTAGTGTTTGGGATTTACCCGATAAAACAATGCGGCCCTATTAAGTGGAGAGATGTCCGTCGCTTTATTATTCACTAGTGCGATATTAGTCTCACGTACTTGGTAACGCATGCTTTGGTTTTGTCCACAAATTGTACTGCCAGTTGTATCTCAGTTTCGTAGTGCTTTACCATGTGCGTCCAAGAAACTAAATACATACGAATTTTCAGAATGTCATGCTTGGGCGACTGTGATTCGATAACTAGGAGCCAGACAGTTATTCTCGGGAGGATAGTCTCCACTGAAGAGAGGATTGACATGTTGGTATTTATCACCAACTAGTCTGGGATGTTGTTTTGCGAGCTAACTTGATGTTTACGGGACGTCCTGTATTATAAGGATTCGGTGCCGAGTCCAGTTGGGATGTGTGAGATCCCAACTTGTGGTACGTGGTAAAACATTCAGTGGCGTCACTGTGACATTTCATAATGTTGGCCTAGGGTACTAGTAAAGTCGCGCGTTTAGTGGACTTATCCAGACTTGTTATGGGTAGTCAGGATGATAATATATTTAGGGTCCCGATATAGTGTGTACGGAACGTTGGTTGTCTGTCCTGGCCACTGACCACGTTAGACCCCGTTGCCAGCTGCTTTCGAGCCTGACGGCTGCAGTCCACTGGTCAACTACTCAATGGGCAAGATGGAGTGAGGTGTTGGCTAAGCGTGTCATACTTGTTCTAGTCGTCTGTGAAACTCGAAGACTGGCTGCTTGCGGTATTGAGGTTGGGCTCCATCTGTGGGGGGGGTGTTGGTAGCAGCACGGCTGTCGGTTTGGTCCGTTTCGACTCAAATCCGCTGTGCGTGTATCACTATTCGAGTAACAAACCTAGAAACCAACGACTTGTATACTTCAAGGGGGAAGGGATTGGGTCTCCGTAATTTTAACTCGTCGGTAGATGTCAGAGATTAAAGACAGTTGGGGGTAAATAACCATTTTCCCAAGGAAGACGAGTATCGCGCATATACTCCCACTTAGCATATCTTGAAGTCATGGACAGTTTTCAGTACGGAGCGTATGAAGCCTTTGAATCGCAAGAATCTGTTCTTCAGAAGCGTTACATTCGTCCCGCGATGAGATTAGTGTCGAGACTGAGGGTCTAGTTAATTGGACAAGTTCGATTACTTAACTTTCTTATGTCATGCACCACTGCTTGAGATTATGGATCCCTAATGTTGTAGCATGATATCGAGACAGGTCTTCATTCATCTGATATGCCTATTGTTAGGGGCTAAGCAAATTAATGGGGCTAAGTCAAGTAGATAGACCGGGAAATATTGCAAGTGTTCTAGCACATATTTGTAATGGTTGGCCGTATGCCTCATGCGGACGTATGAAGTGTAAATTAACGAACAGGAAATCAGAGCAGTCAAAACGAAGACGTGAACAGTTGTATAAGACTAGAAGTACAAAAAGGATGAATCAAAGATGGGGAGCAGTAGGATGCTCATGACTTGGAATTTTTAACTGTAAGTCACGACATACGTTGTGCTACCGCACATGGCTTTGGCTGAAATGACTTAGTACACCTGTCTACTTTTCGGTGTCCTGGTAAATTATGGTAGGATTTAAGAAACTAGGGTCAAATATTTTTTATATTTATCTCTAGTTATTTCGTGCTACATTATCACCGGTGGTATCTATTTATAATCTGTTTAGTTAATTCCTCTACATACTAGGCTACTGAGTTACAAATCTCAGTCCCAGTCCCTAATGAGTTACGAACCATTATTTAAATAAAGCTACTTTGTATTAGGCCAGTAGTAGACACACACAATCATATGCGATGAGAATAGTGGCAATATGAATGCCTTGAGTTAACAAATTAAGATGTATGGAATTAGTCTTCCCTGTTAAAGGTTTAAATATACCAAATGAAGTTAAGAGCGTTCATCACTTCAGCTGAGTTAGTGATTCCCGACAAAATCTTGAATGGGTAACAGGGCGCGTTGGTTCATTCGACTTGTGGTTAAACTCACTCTTTTTACAACGAGCTGTTGAAAACCTGTGTTGTTTGGGTACTTGTATGTTACGGAAGTGGTTTGGCAAGCGAAAGATCAGCGTATGGTAATTTATTATTCAAACGGTAGTCAGACTGTGGAACATCCAGTTTGCAGCATTGCATTTAAAATAAATTAACAACTGAGAGCTTCATGTAACATGAATGAAGTAGCAAGCAGTGGAACTAATACAACAGACTCTACATTCTCGCATTACTACATTACGGTGGTTGAATTCCTTTAAACATATCGTATAGAACAGTAGTGTTTGAGCTACACCATGGATAAAAGAATTTAATAATTTACAAGCAATAAATTTGCCCCTACACACAAACATATACATTAAAATCACAACATGTAACCAACAAAATATAAAAAAAGTAGCCGTTAATCCACAATAGACATAAGAGTAAAATTTCAGTAAATCATTTAGTTACTTCATGATTAAAGGAATAATACAAATGAGGTGAAAAGAAATAACGTTTATCAGAAAGAACATGGAGATCTAATTTATTTTGGCATGACATATTTATCTAAGCAAATAAATAAATGAATAAAAAAAGATTAAAAACAGCACAAGCATGAAAATCGATCATTAAGAAGTTAAAAAATATAAAAACGTTTTAAGCAAACAACTGTGCGTATTTAGTTTTAGAAAAAATGAAAGTTTGTCGACGAGTCAGCCAAATTAGTTAACACAACCAAAAGTAAGTCAGAAAAACACCAAAAAGTTATTTCAGAAATAATCTTGATAAAAACATATTTACAAGGTTTTTATATTATTCCAACTGCAAGTTATCTAATTGAGAAGTAGTATCACTAAGGGATACATCTGAATATACTTTCGTTCTTTGGTAAGGGAACAGAGAACAAATTCGACTAGTGCCGGGTGTCTGTAAGCTGTACATAGGTGTTAATGAATTAAAATTTATGTAGTGAGATTGTAACCAATCGATAGCAGGTGATCCTAAATACTGGATTAATCGAAGCATCGCTCTACAATCACCTTCTGCACTGTGAGCATGTTTATGCTTTTCACCAAATACACGTTCATGTATATCACCTAAATGAAAGGAATGTTTGTTTGTAGTAGTAGGTAACTTTATTGGACTAGAATGAGATATAGGAACAGGAGTAGATGACTGATCATCAGTTGAAATAAAGCCAGAATCATCTGAATTTACTCCAGACAACTGGGAGGCGAACTCGCGAAATAAAGGCAATGTGTCTGTACATATAATAGGTGCATTTGTAGAGTCATTCAGATTGTAATCTTTTCCTTTGACACTCATTATTTGAGCTCTCAACAATGGAAAGTCAAAACGAAGTCCATTATGAGCGATAAAACATACAGGTGAATCCAATCGATTAAGAAACAGTTGAATAAGATCCACTGCACTAGCATCAAAATCCTTCTGATGGAACAAATTATCAGAATTCAAACCTTTCAAGTTCAAGAGAATTAGATATATATATATACTTACCGGAGATTTTAGATGCTATCGATGAAATAGTCCTGGTAGGATTAAAGCATAGTGTGAGTTTATTTTCTACTCTAGGCTCAGCAGTGGCATTCTCCAAACTAAATCGACTACAAGCCAACATACATAATTCCGTAATTTCTGGATTGAAGTTAGCAGATGGTAATCCCGTAGTTTCAACATCAAATAAAACTAGAGTTGACAAGAACAGTGGTCTTGAAGACTTCTAGAAAGTAAGCAAGACAAAAACAGAAAACTTACGCCTAGTGCTGGAAATTTCATTTTATTTTACACGCACGGTTAGTAGATGCAAACCTACACTAGAAAAATTCAAAAGTGAATAATTGCTTTATACAATTGTAATCATTAGAGGCATGGAAATGTAACAAGACGAAGCTTTCAAAAGTTTTGGCCAAATTACAATCAAAACGAAGGTCATTTTAGACAATAATATGGATGGTAAAAAATACAGGAGGTGATTAGTGTCTTCTTAGCTTTAGGAGAATCCCATTAAAAATTCTAAAGGTCACGTTAATTTTTCTATTTTTGAGTAGTTTGATGGCAAACTAACTAATTTAATGGTAAAGTATTAGTTACAAGTGAAGGGGACTTGAATCAACACGGATTTGCGCTAAATCTTGTTATTTATGCATGGCCATTGCCTGAACTTTAGATAGTAAGGGGCTTAACCTGCTATCCAACACTAGAAAGTCAAGTACCTTAGACAGTCAGTCACAACGTAGAACTTCGAACGTACGTACATGAGTTCGAGTTTCCATAACACATTAGCACAGAGATGCAGTTGTCGATTCAAATCTCATAGTGGTAGAAGTAGTAAGAGTATAAGCATTATGTGAAAGATTAGGGTTTGAAGATGTTATTGAAGGAGTATAATACAGTGAAATAAATTTGGAAAGAGACATGAAGAATTCAGAAGATTAGAATTTGGTAGAACACAAAGAGTGGATGCACCTTCGCCATTGCAAACGATTTTGAGCCATGTCATTCAAGGTCTCTAACTATCAGTTGCTATCATCTCGCGGATCCTAACCAGGTAGTCTACACCTACCAACATGGCTCAGTCCACTTGTCAGCGACTTCATGGATTTGTGCCATGTTTTGGTCTGGCCGCCCCTAGCTTTCTTTCAACCTACTCCTACACCACAAAACATTGCACATCGGGGCAGTCGGTGGTTGGGCATACGTAACACGTGTCCTAGCCATCTCAACTGATGACGTTTTACTACTTCATCAACTGATTTGCCATTCTTACCTAATATCCGTTTCCTAACATCTGCATTACTTACCCGGTTTTTTTATTTTATTTAAACACATAAATATTGGTACAAGGAAGCACCAGATAAATATGCGCCTCACAAATCTCATCCGATTTGTGTGTGAGGGCCGTGATACTGCCCAGGTGCCCAGACTGAAGCAGGTGGTTTTCTTAAGGGGCCACACCTGGAGCCTTTGAACTGAATGTCTGATCCACAAGGCAGTGGAGCATCGTGAGGAGATGCAGTTCCATGGTAGCCGGTGATCAACGGTTGATTCGTACGCCATTTGTTCCTTCAGGATACTGGAGCACATGTGCACCACTGGTTTGGAATCAGGGTTCTCCAACTCCCCTAGGTGAACTTTCCATGTCCACCATCCCGGTTAAAGCGCCGGACATTCGCTTTTCGTCCTCTCACTTTCGTAAACAACACCCCCGCCACGAGAAGGCAGTGAGTAAGACTTCCCTGGCAGAGGCTATATATTCGCTGGCCATATGAGAGCATTTCGAGAGGGAGAGGTGACTCTCCCCACTCTCGGCTGTACCAGGGCATTTGGGGGTGGTCCCAGAATATACGAGCAATGCTTCGAAGACACCTATGATCGATACTAGTAGCCTACGAATATTCTCTACTCTTACCGGTCATGTTTCACATCCATAAACTACTACTCAATAGTTCTACTTGTAATTAAAACTAACGTAACTGAATGATCAAGTATGGACAACTGTTCTCATCCTTAAAATTGACCTATTGTGTAACGGTTATTGGGCCAATAGTTTACGACTGCCAGGAAACCTTTATATTTGAATACAACTTTCTTCAGCAAATACTTCAGAGTGCTGCTGGTACAACCCCTTTGCTGACAGAGTGAAATACGATTACTGGTATGTGGGACCGGTAAATAGCTTCATTTTTCAAAGTTTGGAAGATGATCTACATACTTTTAATAAGTCCGGAAATTTATCTTATTTTGTTCCAGAGAACTATTCACTCTAATGGTTTTTAATTAACATTGGTGTAGTGAGGCTCTAATAACAAAAGCTGGTGTAGCGTTAAGTGAGTTAACGGTCAGAAATAAGTAACTTGTACTAGTAAGAGATATCCAAATAGACAAAATGAAAAAACACTAGCTATGTGGATAGTGACAGATTGATCGTCTTTTCCTATGTGTCTCAATACAGTTAGGAGTTTGGTTTAATTTTGAATGCTCTCATATGACTTGTTAATATTTTGATCCAAGCAAGTTCTACACAATAAAGGGGTACAGATGTTCCCATTACAGAGAATAGAAAACGTCCGATGATTTCACAACGGTAGGTACTGATGGTTCACTTAAGGAGGGGAGGGTTAAGGAACTATAACTTTAGATTAGTAGTGTATATAATTTCCAGAGTCCTTAAAGAACAAAAGAGATACGAGTTGTGACGTGGAAATTTGGGATAATGTACCTTCATGCAAAGCTCTAAGTCAATTATGGCTGAATTAGTTCAGACACCGGGTAACATTGGGTGCATACAACAAGTTACGTCACCATAACGTAAATTAAAACATCAGGTTAAAAATAAGGTGGGGGATAATCCAAGACCTTTGGATTGGTTTGAGTACTCATGCAGTATCACAGAGTTCGGTTTGCAAACTGATTTGGATTACTGTCAAGTGATGATAACCCAATTAGGAGTTGACGGTCTTGGCGTAAGTTTACTTTCAGTACTCGAATATAAATACGGAGGCAACCAGAGACAAATATAAGGAATGTTCAACGTAGAATATTCGACTGTGACAAGATGGGTCAAGTACCATGGTAATAAGTTCAACAAAGGCAGCGAATTCGTGTCTCATTTTGAGTTGTAAGTCAAAACCACGGTTAATCATTACCTCTGAATTGCAACTATTCTAAAGTTTGTCGATTACACACATCACAACAGAGCGTGGCGCAAGTCATATGACATGAAATGAAGCACTACACTGCTCTCGTGGCGCAAGTAGTGTTAATGAAAGTTACTACGCCGAGTCAGCAAGTAAAGATGAAATTCACAGATTGGACAGAATAGTCAAGTAACGGTGGAACAAACAGTAGTAAGAAACACTACACAATAAAAATATGGCTTGAAAAAAGTGCGGATGAAGGGATGCTAAAACTTAGGACTAACGCGATGATAAAAAAATGAGTGAATAGGGTTGGCCGCAATCGACTCTAAGACACGCAACTCATACAATTATGTGGTTTGCAATCCAAATACCATGTTGCGAGTTACCCAATAAACAGAGGAAAAAACATGACGAAAAGTTTTAACACGAAGTGTCACCTGTTAGGAAAAAAGAACACTATAAGCTTTAGTACAAGGTCATACTGAATCAACCTAATCAAGTAATTTGGCGATCTGATATTAAAAATATAATAGCAAAATAATCCAGAATTATGGGACAAACTGAGGACAAGCACCATAAAAATGTGTTAATCTTAAGTTAACAGCGTCAAATGTACTGAAACTCAACGATGTTTGGAGTAAACTTATATTTTAATCTGCTATGTCATATGGCAGTCAATATACACGTAAGGTCAATGGTATGTTGGGGGTCAACTACAGTAACGAGATAATGAAGAGTTAAGGATTTCAAACAGTTTCCACACTATTAACCTACGCTTTTGATGTCATGCACCACAGTGTGTATGAATTAAAAAAAAGGAGTTGATACACACACAGTAAGTGAACGCTGAGCTGAGAAACGATCTCAACAAGCTGTTATATTAAATGAGTTTAAAAAAAACACTACAAGTTGTAAGTAGAAAACATTTTGAGATTGTTCAGTGATACGACATTATTGAGAATTTGAACTTGTCCTCGTAAAACACTGTGATGAATACTATTAGGAAGTGACAGGATATTTGAATAAAAATCTGGATATCTAAAATTAAAGCAATCCGGATATTTTAGATGGACATCCCTGAACACCGTTTATGGGAGCCTACGCTTCCCAAACAACCAATAGAGGGGATATAAAGCGGACGAAAGCGTAAATAAAGGGGAAATATTGATTTTTTCCCTTTACGTCGTGTAATCGGGGAAAATTTTTAGACAATTATACGTAACGTACAGTGTTTGAATATGTCACATCCCGTATTTATATTTTCGAGAGCGTCTACAGAATGATGCACTGTTTTATCTTTCTGAATTGAGAGAGATAAAAGTTTCGACTTGAACTAAGATGTTATGCACACTACAGGCACTCCGGAACATTAATAATTGATTACTAGAGAAAACATATTTAGAAAATACCAGCTAAATTCCGCACTTCCACGTTAGATATGACCTTAACTAACATGTGTAACTTGTTTTGAATGGCGCCAACCGTGTAAGTCTCACATGGGATCGGTTTCAACAACAATAAATTTCAGACAAACATGTTCATCACCAGGTTATTCTGAACACTGAGTTGTGAACAATAGTGCTGTGAAAGACAACTTTATTCATATTTAGTGGATAAATTAGGCAGCTTGGAAAACACAGGAGTCTGGGAGGCCGTTTTTCATGGGTCTATAAGAAGGGTAAGGTTTCTAGAAAATTTAAACGACTACTTAACGTAGGACAATGTATAAAGTTTTGTTTTATGCCTACGTTCTGTATTGCTGAGTCAATAAAAGAATTTTTGTCTTCTATAATATGTCTATATTTGTGTGTATATCATTTTTTCTCTTAAAAAACCAATGTTGTTTGTGCAATACTTTGTTCCTGCCTGGTGGCTGAGTGTTAAGAAGATCGAAGAAAAAAGAGAATGAGAACAATCAAGTCTAACACAATTCATTGATATTTCGCAAATGAAGCATTTACTGTATGGTTCTCAGAGTTTACTAAGAGATTCTGTGATTTTATGTTCGAATACATTCGGTTGTCCCTACTGGTGTTCTCATTCACAACACCAGTTAACTGAGCAACAAAAACAAAAGTTATTATGATAAATCCATCTTCATATCTATTCTCAATATACTCGTAACATACAAAAACACAGTGTTTTCAAAACTTCGTGATCTTATTAATTCAATAATAAATTTGTATCGGATTATTTTGAAGCACTTAGTCTCCTCGATAAATTCCGACGGTGTAATGAGGAGATGAAGATTATCATCACTATGTGATATTGATAAGCCTTAATTATTGCAGTTTTTCCCGTCGCCACTGATTTCTTGTTGATTGGACGCTATATTCGGGTCCTAAGCTATTCTTGTAACCCCCAAGCTAGAACTGCACAACCACATGAACACGAGAGAATAGGTGCAAAATATACGAGAACCACTTTACTCCATAGGTTCATTTATGTACAGAAAATATAGGGTTTTTATAGTATTTTAGAAGTCCTTGGATTTTCCTGAGAATCTCAGAATACTACTCAACATAGTAGCATTTTAGTTATCAGCCAATCAGAACCCCTACATGTGACTTTTCATTTTCGCGATATTTCTAGCAAAACGTCTAATCAAACACTGATTGGATAAAATGCTCCTTAATGTTTCCTGAGCTTGTCATGTCTATCGCGAGAAATTTTCAGGATCATTCCAACAGATATATTAACGCAACACATTTTGAGCAATCTGATCATATGTAATATACTTGTGAAGAAGATTTATACATAAAAATAAAAGGTCAACTAGACAAGAGATAGAGGTTATGAAAAGGCAAGAATAACAATGGAAATAATGTAAAAACAATTTGAAACCTCATCACTCTGGATAATCAGTTAATATTACTTACTTACTTACTTACGCCTGTTACTCCTCGTTGGGGAGCATAGGCCGCTCACCAGGATTCTACATCCAACTCTGTCCTGGGCAATCCTTTCCAGTTCTTTCCAGTTGGAAGCTCAGTTTTGTGCACTATATATGTCTGTACCTTGGTGAACAATATGCACCATAATGCCTTTGAAGCATTTTTAAGCAACTAACATACTCTGTGCAATACAGCTGATTTATCCAGGTCGTTTTGAAGCTCTTAACTACTTTTTGCATTTTATCGTTTTCTATATCTTGACTTCATCTAGATATAACAAAACCGATGATGACAGGAGGCTAGGAGGTTTATCTAGACAACCGAGGAACAACACTGTCCCCAAAACTGTGATCCGAGGCACTCCTCTAACCACAGTTTTCCCAGCTAAACTGCTTGAAGTTCACCCGCACTCTTTGTTGGAGCCCAAATATAAAAGCCTTCGTCCGCTTAAATAGTTCGCCTCCAATACCAACATCACTTGACTAAGATAACACTCGGTTTTCAAGAGCCTTAATAAAGTCAGTGAACTCTGGACTTAAACGTAGCTTTCGATCTTTCAGAGCACACAAAGTTTCAGGGGACACTAGTAAGCTTGGAAGTCATGAATAACTTGCTCTCAAATCGTGCTGCCTTCACAAAGAACATTGTTTTTGACTAGATAATTAAACCAATCTTCCTGAATAATCTCTCATGAAATATTAGGCATATGGACCGATAGTTACTGGGTTTTTATATTGCGTTTTTCCAACCTTGAAGGCACTCCGTGTAGGGGTTTCAGGTATGCTGAAATACGTTCAAGGGATTTAAGGTTTAATTTGATGGTTCGTTAATTAATCAAGGATGTACATCATTGGGTTCAATAGATTTGCCAACATAAAGCTCATTTAACAGACCACAGACAACGAAATCGTTAGTGGTAATGTGGTATTATTATGAACTTGTAGGGTCACTGAATATCGAACAGATCATTGATCCCTGTCAAGGTCAAGGATAGTCAACGCGCATCAATCAATAAACGCCATGGGCTGGCCCACGCGGCAGTGGTTGTTCTTTCACTTCTGTAATTTCTTGGTTGTACCTTGGCTAATATATTCTTGTAATGACGTCTTTTGTGTTGCACAGTCTCCATAGCGTCCATGATCCTTTGATGCGTCGATGGTCCAATACACGTAAGGGCTGGTCGCGAGGTGTGACTTCAGCGTTAGTTGGTTCGTCACCATTCTCGTCTAACTATAGTAGGCCCTCAATCATTTGACATAGATCATCAACAAAGATGATCTTACAAACTAATGATACCTTTTAGCTTGATTTCGAATTCCAAGTACAATACATGTAGCGGTATTAAAAATCATTATATATGACGTTGCTAATGCGAGTTTGTTTGTCTTTTTGCAGGGCGACAAACAGTATACGTACTGGAAGATAGGGAAAAAGCCTCACACGATCTGAACCTGCAGAACAAGGAACAAAACTATTTTGTAGTGAGATTTCCCATTTTGTACTTGAACTGCGTCTTTCAATTTCAAAAGTACACCTGTTGTGCCAGTACACTTACTTCATAGACGCTTACAGATCCTGACTGTTGCGTTGTTGTTTCAGATCGCTCCTTCCAAGTGAACACAAACACATAACTTGCTACATACATTCGTTCGTGCTCATCTAGTACTTCTCGATTAAATTGCGTTGTTTCTGGGATTCCTAGTTTGTACAGTAATTCAAATACTCATACTTAGCACAGGTAACCGCAGCAACCAAAATATCAGTATTCGATTTGAACGCAGAACTAAAGAACCAAAGTATATTTCATTGGACCAGACAACGTTCTTTTGTATGGTGTCAGAAGCGTTTTTAGGTGACTCGTATCAACTTATATCAAAACAAGAATATTGTTTTCAATTTTGGACGATTATAATTTAAGAGAGAGAATAAATTATATTGAAAACGCAAAATACGTCAAACGATACAGCTTGTGCTTTATGGTCAAGAGTTTGTCCAGCAAAAACTAACGTGCCAAGCAACAAAAGGAATAATTTATAAACAAGAGTTCAATATTTGTGAATCAGTAAGCATATTTCCAACATGAAGGGATCAAGTATCTATTTGCAAGGATTCCAGTAATCTTTCCAGGCAGACAATCAGAGGTTGACAGGCAAACACTGAACTATACCGTGACCCTGAGTTTAGTTAAACACGACTTTATTATCAGTAGCCCGGCGATATACAACAGTGAAATTAGGTAACAAAAGGTAAGTCTTTAACCAAGGTCACACAATAAAAGCTCAAGTGAGGAGGGCTGAATAACATAGGGTGCCGTTAAAAGAGACCTTAATAAATGTTAAGGCACAAGACAGGCAAAGAATCAAATAATTGACAACACCGTTACAAAAATGCTCTGGGGGAATTTTGGCGTGTTTTTTCGTTACAGTGACAGTGTTAACATTTTGTATATTAAGATTTGTGTGCTCTTTATTCCACACGTTGAAATGCGTTGAACTCGATGTGTCACTACCCATTTTGTGTTGCAGTCAATTATTTCAAAGGGGAGGTGGTCTACAGTTGTTTACAAGCAAGTTTTTTGGACCTTGATTGTATTTAGAATCTGAAGTCAGGCAGCCAGTAAGTACAAAGGAATCGTTAGTTCATACAAACATCACATGTGGCTAATCCAAACAAAGAAAGCTCGACATTAATTTCATCAGTGAAAATAATGGCGGTTATTACTGCATATGGTAATCATCGATCACTCCTTTTGTAATATAATTAGTCATAATCTGCTACATTTAGACAGAAGTGATGTAGAAACTTAATTCAACCGTAAGTCGTACCCACGCAATAACAAAATCAGGGTAATCTTTCAAGGTTGACACACTTTACTGTTTCATAACACACTCAGAGAACAAACAGAATTTCACTATATAACAAATATAGTTTGGTGTGAAATAACAGAACTGTGATACTGCTAAAAATAACTGATTGCTGCATAAGAAAGTTCAGTCACTTAAAATGCTTAACTCGCGTTATACTTGAAGCTAGCTATTTATCGACAATCGCATTTGGTAGCAAATAAACCCCTAAAATAAATGGTTCTGTAAGTCTTGGACATCGACGCTGATCTCAGTAGTTTTACTGAGCACATCTTAGCTGAGGGTGCTCAGTCACGAATCTTCACCAGATCAGAATTAAGCTCATCGTGTTACTCACCTCTCGCAACGACTAGCCAGCTTAGATCACACGTTTCTCAACATATTGTTAGCTTCCCAAACACATCTTCGAACTTCTTAATTCCCAACTTCTGGTTTGACTTGGTTGGTGCCTCTCGATTATAAACGTGCTGCGGACAAAATCTTTGTTAAACCCTAGCTATTCGTGGCATATTTGACCATATCAATATAATTCGGATGTACTTGTAGGCTGTGATGATAAAGATTAGGAGATTCATGGTGTACTAAGATAAAATCGAGGCTCAAATTAGTCAGGTTCTAATGTATTTATTGTATGACGTATATGATATGAGAGATTATTCTCCTCATTTTTACTCAGTTTCATGTCCATTTAAATCACAAATCAGTTATTAAGTTTACCGTTTTTAAGTCAGATACTATTAGTTTATCCATAGCTAATTTTGTACGATAAATTACTAAGAACAAACGACATTTATCACAGATAAAATGCTGACAGAGCGCGGTTTATTTTATTTTCCCGCAGTTAATCTGGCCAATAGTTATACGTCATTTTCACATTCCGCATGTAAAGATTTGTTTAATAAGTAGAAGCAGATGATATGTAATAGATAGCACAACTATGACGTAGCTGATTAGATGAGTTTAAAGGATGTTATCGACTGTTCAAAAATGGTAACGAAATGGCCTGGGACGCTTAGTTTACATTTGACAGCTAACAGTTAAAATCTGTGGAAAAGACACTCACCGTTACATTGTCAAATTAGCTCTAATAATTAGTAAACCAGTCTTAATAACCGTTTGTTTTCAAGACGTCAGTATAGCAGACCAAACGCGTTGCTTGAGCTGACTTGAATTCGGGAGTTTTTGTTTATGAACCGAAGTAAAATTCCGGAACTGTAAACATTGATTGGTGTGCCAAAATTAAATATTACTATCACTTTTCCCTTGGTTATACTTAGTAGCACATGTATATGTAATAACTCTGTGCATTAACATAACACGCACACACACCAGCAGCTCACATGTAATGCATAGACCCACGTACACAGTATTTTTCTTATAAAGCAGCAAGACTTCATTTTTGTATTTCATTTTTGTGCTTCTTTCGGACACTCTAAGGGGTAGCAAAGCTAAAATGGTCATTTTGGACTTATTTTGCAAATGGTTTTTGATCACTGGTCACAGTTTTCACAATTTTCATGATTATTATCATTGTTATTGAATGAAAACTATTGTTTAAGTCAACCCCGAATTTCTTTTTACTTTTTTAGTGTTACAGTTTTTTGCGTTCCTTAAATACACCTTCCACACATACAGTAGCTCTTTCTCGATTAATTAATTCCCAAACGAACAAATCTCTATTGCATTTGTTGCATAAATTTTGAGGATTATGCCCCTCAACTTTACCTAGTCTGGAGTACGAAGTTTTTTGGTTTTTATTGTATACATTTTGCGATCACTAGTTCTCTCTCATAACCGTGAGCATATTTTTGGGCCTGCTGAAAATATAACCATCAATATCTTGCCAGTGACTCCTGTATAATATATATAAATTTGTTTTGCATGTTATTAACTCACTTTAATGTCTTCTTCTGAATAAGTAATAAAATATTTGTAAGTTTGGTTGATCACGAATATCAACATAGGAGCAACATTTGTGAAACTTCATTTTACAAAATTTAGGGTGCATTCAAGTTTTCCGCTCCAAACTACTCTCTATATTTGGCAACATGCTTTTTTAACTTGAATTTGAAATTGTTTTGAACATTTCCAGAAGTCTTTAGATTTCATAATGTTCAGCTACCTTATCTGTTTATGTCTTGCTAAAGTCACCTGCTGAAACGATTCTATCAACATCAGTCCATCAAGAATCACTTTTTTTAAGTTAAAAATTTATTGCAAATCACAAGAGACTGTACATTTTCGTTTACATCGTCAATACACGAGGTGTATGACTGTCCTGGACTTGTATTGTCCTGTAGTCACAAGGAACCGTATTGAGACTCTTGACACATATGAAAAGAGTTGCTTACATCACTGCGTCATTCACATAGAAATCTTCAAGTAAACCATGCATTTCTAAGAGATTAACACAAGCTGCACTAGGGACTCTGACAACTGATTTTAATTAGTTCTTGATAGGAATATACGTTTTTAAAGATCGGTTGCTAGGCTCTACATTAAATCATGTAAATGAAAAATAAATATCATTTCGGTTAGAATCATCCTCACTGTAGAGATTAAAGTACAATTAAACGTTTCATACACACACACACACTCAAATTCACCAGCTGATTATATGAATAGATCCGAATTTCCTTAAAACTCCAACTTAAAATGCACTTGAAGTTTTTTTGGAAATGAGTGATAAATCATCTCTAATACAACTTCACAAATATTCGTTAACCATAACTATAATAATAATAATAATAATAATAATAATAATGAGAGTTAAGTTACATCAATCACATTAAACGTTTCGAGATCACAGTGTAATATTATGCGCATAACTATTTACTAGAAATAGAGATGGTGAGAAAAGTTTAGGTTTTACTACTAATAATATGACGAACTTTGAACAATCTGTCAGTCACTTTATTACATTATTATTATTGGAATATACATCTATATTTCTTATCATTATACTACTTGTTATCATTCAGTATCTTAAATGTGTTTTACAATTCCATACATTTGTGTTTAGATTAGTAAACATTATTAAATAAGATGAATGTAAGTTGTTGTTCTTCAATTGAAAAATAGGAAAGGGTTTTTAAAATGGAATCTCTGTTATAATATGAATTCACATGATAATTTGTATTTTATTTATCTAAAGTTAATAATAGTAACACTAGTAATAATACCATTGAATGGTAATAGTGATCGAATGATTCACTTAAACTTTATAATGAGAATGAATCTACAGAAAATCATACATTGTTCTGGGATTGGACTTATTATTCTCATTCTTATTATTAATATTATTAATGGCTCAATTCAATATTATATTTTGGTACAATATAAAATTCTCATCACGAGGTATTTCAGCAAGTAACGAAATGCACTCCTTGAATTCCACTGCTAGGCATATCCCACCTATTTCATGTAGACAGGTGGATAAATGTTGTGCTTGTAAAGTGAAAACGTTTAGGTGATAATCCTAATGTAAGTATCAATATTAGAGTGCCGGTATGTCTGATCAATGAGATCCAAACTTGACAAAATGTTTTCTCTGGATACCAATGTCTTGTACTAATTAAATTACAGCCAATAAAGAGAAGTAAACTTTTTCACAGAGATGGCTATATGCATGTAAAGTTTATTGCTACAAATAATTAGAAAAAAAGAATTTAAATGAGTTCATAGGTTACAGAAGTTTAGAAAGTGATTGAGATGTAAAAAGATAGCAATAGTTCGGGTATTTCAAATCAATAAATGAAAAATCGAGAGATAAACTAATTTATCTATTTAGGGTTTTTGTGGAGATTTTTAGTAATTTTTTATAATATAGTTGAAATCATGAGTCCGTTGAAGCTAGATCACTATGGAAAACCTGGAAGCACTGGACGGCTGTTTCGTTCTATTGTGGGACTCCTCAGCAGTGCGCATCCATGATCCCGCCAAGCAAGATTCCAAACCAAGACCTATCAGTGTTGCGCGCGAGTTCAACAAGGTCTGTTGGGAGATATCAACTCACTAAAGACATTGATGAAATGGTTGCTCAACCTCGTGGACTGGTTGAAGTTAGACAGTAGCACCATTGGATACCGCCTTAGTCGTCTATCAGTTAAGTGCTCTGGCTCGAGACTGGTAGGTCCTGGGTTCAAATCTTGCGAGTGCGGGATCGTGGATGCGCACTACCGAGGAGTCCCATAATAGGACGAAACGACCGTCCAATGCTTCCAGGTTTTCCATAATGGTCTAGCTTCAACTGACTCATGATTTCAACTATATATAAATAATTTATTTATTGCTAAAATGTTAAATCGGCTTACAGTAAACTCTACCAGAGCCACCAGAGGCTCATAAAAAGCCCAAGCAATCAGCGATTAGTTAGAAGCTATGCTACTAAAATAACGAGATCCTGATTGGCTGTTTAACACACTGCTACTATGGAAACTCAAGGTCTCTTAATTACTATAAAACCCCTGTATTTTCTGTACCAAAATGAATCCTGTAGTAAGGCGCTTCCCTCATACTTTATGCCTTTTCTCTGGTCTTCAAGTCAGTGTATAGTTCTAGCTCGGGGATACGGAACTAGCTTAGGGAAGCAAATATAACGTTCACAACCGGCCAGACGTAACATAAAATGGCAATGAAAAATTATGTACACTTTTCTCCTGTATGTTAAAATTGGAGATAATGAATCCAATGATCGTTGGAATTTCTGTCCTCCTCAAGATATACATTACGAATGAACAACAAGTATGGATACTGAATTCTTTCAAACTTCTTGAAGTATGTTGTAAATACAATAAAAGACTACCTTCTTTTCACTTCTTTTCTTTTTAACTAGTTTTATCAGTATTGAATAACATAACAGATACAATTTAAAATAACTTTAATCAGTAAATATGTACATGTATATACTTTAGATAGAGATGAACGCTCAATTATATGGTACACTTTATTACTATTATGCCTTTCTTTCCGTGGAATTTATTCAACTTTAATTAAAAAAAGATTAAATGTATACCTCTTAATAAATTACACTTTCAATACCTTGTTTTTCTATCAAGTACCTTTTAATAAATTGTACATCAATTTATCTTCAAGTATATTAAACTGTATATAAAACAGTTAATCAGTTAAGAAGATATGTAAGTTAATGATGTCAATCATCTGAACTATAGAAATAATGATAGTAAGTAATGAAAGACATAGTAGTAACCATGAAAACAGAATGATACAATGGAAAAAAAACATTTGATGTTACGAGTTGGAAATCACTGTATGTTATTTGTAGTTTGAAATAAAAAAATATACTTGGACAAATTATTTTTCCTTTTTAAAACTGCTCACTTAATACGGTCAGTATTATTTTTTATAAACTTTATCAGAAAACGAAGATTGTGGATAATTGCATTTGATCATGCTTGACTATGTAATTGCTAGATTAAATGTCAGGCAACACATTACACATTATTAGTACAAGGAGCCTACAACAGCATTTGTTTATGAAGTAGGAGTTCATCCAAAACTAGAATACAAGTAGAAGTTTGTTATTATAAAGAATAATAGCAGTAATCTGGTTAAATAGGCTTAGTGTGTTCAATGAATGTGTTCATGAATCAAGGCATTTGTAGATAGCACTATTTTGCTAACTTTTAACATTGACAAATAGCAGTCTCTAATATCAACTATGTAAAAATATAAACCTTCACATATAACTTTGTATGTAATGAACAAGTTAAAGGACCTAGTAACTCGTTTGTTGACTCTGAAGTTTTTTATAATCGATGCTAGATTCAAGTTTGGGAGTGAACATCAGCAATGTGATTCTGATGAGTTTTAAATAGTACGAAACAAGCATCCTCGATTCAACCAGTAACCATAACTCAAATGTACTATAAGAAATTAAATAGCACTATGAAGTAATAGTAAAATTGTCCAACAATGATCAACTAAAAATGTTGCATAATCATCATTATTTATCATCGGTGATGGATTTGGCATATTCAACCTCATTAATCTCCTTCAGTTGAAGCTACACCATAAGACTTGGTGACCGCTTCTCAAAGTAACTTCTTGGTTAGTAGGTGTTTTTAGTAGCTTAATTAAAGCCAATTCGTCGCGTAAACTGTAATCTGAAAATCACCCCACCACCTCCACAAACCTTCAATAATAAGAAAAAAAACTATGATTTTTTTTGTTATTTCTTTTTAATCAAAGTGACTTAAACACGTTCGTTAAATAAAAATCAGCATTTAAAACTTTTACAATCATGTAACTTGAAAAAAAGGATTGTTTACATGAACAAAGAAATAAACAGACTATTGAAAGACTTAATAAGTAAATATTACTAATAAAAAATAATTAAAAGAAAATATACATTAGTAATAATCATCATTATAAAATATGTGTATATATGAATTTATTTGTTTATTTCTTATTGGATAGTTGAGTGTTTTACTCTCGTTGAGCTTAATAAGTTTGTATAGAAATAAGTAAACAAACACACACACATCCACACACACACATACAAAATACCCTTTCTAAAACATCTTCATTGACTGAACATCATAGGATTATAGCATTTGAGCAGGGTAGCAGAGTAATGAAATAGTTAAGGAATACTATTTTAAAAATTATTGAAATTATAAAACAAATAATTAATTATTTATAGCTTTTTAAATTATTCAACTTATTTTTTTTATTTAAAAAAAAACAAACAAACTTGGTAAGTTGATTCTATTGAGCGAATTTCTGTTCCATACAGTAACTGCATTGTTGAGCTGATAAGTTAAAAATAAAAAAAAGAATGAGAAAAATAGAGAAAATTAATTTAATCGTTGAAATCATGAGTCAATTGAAGCTAGACCACAATGGAAAACCTGGAAGCACTGGATAGTCGTTTCGTCCTATTGTGGGACTCCTCAGCAGTACGTATCCATGACCCCGCCTCGCGGGATTCGAACCTAGGACATATTAGTCTCGCACGTGAACAATTAACCGATAGACCACTGAGCCGGTATTCGAGGTCGTGGATGCACACTGCGGAGGAGTCCCACAATAGGAGGAAACGGCCTTCCAATGCTTCCAGGTTTTCCATGGTGGTCTAGCTTCAATTGACTCATGATTTCAACTATACAAAATTACTAAAATCTCCCCAAAACCCCTTCCGAAAATTAATTTGAACTAATTGAATTCAGTGAATATCATAAATTTTTGTTAATGATTTATCGTTGAAGTTCATGTCATTTAATGTAAATTTTAATGAAGATTTTATTGACACTTTGAAATAATGTAAAATAGTTGGAGTCAGTTGGTTGAGAATTCATGCATTATGGTTTCGATTTTGTTGTTTTTTATTAACAAGGTTTGTTAACAACCATAAAGGTATTAAAGCTTTCAGTTGAATTTGAACTGTTATCATTTAATATTACTATCAGAGAAATTATAACAAAGATATCCAAGTAGTGACTAATCTTTTACAAGAATAGATACTAACACTAATCGACTAATGAGTAATAAAAAGTATCATGTTGTTTAACGAATTCTTTAGATCACTGAATATTTGGCAATATACTGATTTAATATTTGGATTGAGTGAAGCTGCTACCAAGTTAATTATAGAAGTGTAAAACGTTCGTTGAAATTATGAAATATATTTGATAATAGTGATGAATAATTAGTAGTGTGAATTATTTCATATTGCTGAATTAATAATATTTGACTGATATGATAATGAATTTCATTGCCTATAGATAATAACGCGACTAAACTTTTTAATACTAAATTTGCCAATTTGTAGTTATTCATAATACATGAACTTGATTCTTGTTGTAAAAAAGCAAATATGATTTCATTAATAGTCAGCTTTATGTTATTTATTATCATAATAAACTGGAATTCAATTTTATTTAATGTTAAAGCATAATGTAGGTACTTTTAAACTTGTCTAACTGGAAAAAAGAAAAACGAACTGGAAAAATGTCAAAACGAATCGTTGTATTCAGTAAAACTCATCCTTCTCATACATTAAATAATGAAGTAACGGCAGTGCATGTTGGAGCAATAATAGCATTTTTGATCGAAAAGACGCAATAAATTCTTTCTTTCATGTAAAAATCATGTTTTATAAGGGGGAAAAAAATGGAATAAACAGTTTTCCCAAACAATCGAATTTCAAAATAAAACCTAAGATTTCGTTTACAGTTACATTACATAATGCTTTGAACGAGACAAATTTACGAAAAAGTAATTATTACATAATATGGGACTCCTCATCAGTGCGCATCCACGATCCCGCCTCACGAGATTCCAACTCAGGATCTACTAATGTGAACCGGTTTTCAATGGTGTTAATGTCTAACTTCAACCGATTCACGAAATTGAGCAACCATTCACCAATGTCATCAGTGAGTGGATATTTCCCAACAGACCTGATTGAACTCCACTGGTTACTGCTTCTCACTAGAACTCCAGGAAATACCTCATGGAGCCAGTCACTAGTGAGCACATAATCATTATCAGAAGGGGCTTGGTGGAGATCTCATCTCTATAAAATTACTAAAATCTCTACCAAACCCCTTCTGATATTACATAATAGGTGAAAATCGTAAACAACAAAAGTCAAGTGAAAAATGTGAAAAACTTTTTAATACTCATACCTTAATATACTAGTTAAATATTAGTATAGTAATTTCTAAATAAGTATTATATGGAAATGAGAATGAAAGAAGTATTTATAACCATACAAATCATTTTTTGAGCTCATTTGAATGAAACTAACATCTACATTAAAATGAATTGTTCTTTCTTCTTAACCTCTTTACATAAATAAGAACTAATAAGTCATTGTGATTATTGACTCAGATTGGTCTAAAATTGGTCTAAAATTTTCGTATAAATATTCATGTATATTAGAGTAAGGCTTGATGATGATTTAATTGAAAACAATTGTTCGCCTACATGTGTTGTTCTAGTTTCCACAATGGGAATCTTTAATATCATAAATTAATAGATATCGATAAGGTTCCAGGATTTAGAGAATGTTGTGAAAACTTTTATATTGTCATCATAACAGTGTTAAAGAATGGGAAAAGAAAATCACTTTGTCTATTGATGAAACGCATTAATTAATAAAAAGTAATATAAACAGCTTACTTACAAAAGACCGCTATAAAAGCTAATTGACTTATCGACCGTAGTTATGATAATATGAAGAGAAAACATTAACACAATAATCGTTTGCTTTGGAGACTTTTACAAATTCCTTTTAAAATGATATAGTTCATTTTTAATCACATACTCATTCCTTTTATTTCAGGAATACAAAATAATATTGTATCTAATAAATACAGTTCTTTGTCTCTAACAATGATAAAATAACGATCAAAAGCTCTAATTTCTAACCAAATTTCAAATAACAAGTCTATGGATTTTGATTAATACTTCCTTACACTATGAGAGTTTCATGAAAAAAGAATTATGGACACCTGGATTATTGGCAAAGGTACTAACAATTCCGATTGATTGAAAAACCTATAAACTTGACAAACAATTTGTGCTTAACTAATGTTTATTAATGATATAATTTATACAGTACAAAACAGGCGAAAATTGATTGTAAGCGATTACTTGCCAAATGGTTAAACTAATACCAAATACAGATTGTACACATTTCAACAAAAGCTCAAATAATGTAACTATCATTCTAGTGATATATTTTGAGATGGTAGGGAAGATTTGTAACTCAGGTGAGTGATTTCGACGGAATTTTGTTCTCTGAACTGGAAGGTTTTGTCGTGCAGCTTTCATCGTCGTTCTGAACGACATCATCGGCACAAACTTCGGGTAGAAATGTTTGAATTTCTCCACATGTGATTCACAGCCTGTCCTGTGCACCTCGATGTTGATTGGCTCTTGATGATATATATTTATCTTTATTAAACGACTTTTGGTCAATTTAATAGATTAGAAAATACTGCAGTATATTTATCTGAAGTAAAAACAACGAACTCCTTTTATAGTTAAAACTACCCGTACATGTTCAAATTAGACTGCTATGATTTCTCATAATACGACCTAGCTATTCTTATTGTTTAGTATTCTTAGACACTGTTTCATTTGACATGTCCCGAAATCAGAACACGGTTAAACAGGAATGTAATTATATTCCAAATGGACAAGGTTGAATGGAAGTAGGAATAACAATAAGGTAAACATCAGTATATCTATTATTTTTATATAAGAATATTATGGAGTCTTCTCCAAGTATTTGCTAGCGCTAATTAGTTATGAAATAGCCAATCAGTATGCCCCAACACAATCCTGTACCGAACATATTTTCATCCAACCTATATCCCGCTAACATTGATGAAAAATTTCATTATTTCCATTCGACCAAAATATTTCTAATAATGTTTACAGTTTTGATTAATCCATTTAAAAGTGACTCTAATAAAATGTCACTTAATTTACATATTATATATGAAGGAGAATATAGCGTCAAATATAATTTTATTCATAGAAATCTGTCCTACTTATCATAAAATAAGCCGTTTTTCTATATTAAGTAAACCATTCCTAGTAGTATTAATTGAGATTGTGATCATGATTGTGTTTTATTTTCGATCATTGCCAATAGATAAGGATTTTGAGTTCTCTTTACCCATGCCTTTGAAATGGACGTAACAATAGAAGTGGTGTTTAAGAATTGGTTTGTGAAAGAAACTTGGAAGATATGGGTTTTTACAGAATAAACCGTCACACTATTAAATACTATTGACGATCAACGTGTCGAATTCTTGACAAACTCAAATAGGATCGTAAATATGGCGGGAGAATTTAGAAGCTCTTGCATAAACTACAGTTTTAAAATTAAGTAATAAAGTGGTTCTTCTTCAAATAGCTAAGGTCTCGTCATTTAGTAACGTAACTTCACCAAAACCAAGAAAAGTGAATTAGTAAAGCATGGTAATTAAGACTTCAGAGATAGATATCTTGCATTAGGGAATACAAACCATTAAAGCTCCCTGACCTTTTATTTACATTTGAGATTTGAAAGAGCTTACGTGCTCTATATTATACATTTCTCCAAGTTATCCTTTTAGTTAAGGCCAGATATGTGGATAAATGTCTAGCTAGGTAGCATGGAGATCGATTAAACCTTTAACTAGCCGAAGGTTTGCAAATATTTGCGACATTTTTTAAGGTAAAAGTCATCCGAATTGTATTAACTGTTCTACTTATTACGATCACAAAGTCTGTGTGTTTTATTGGATATTAATAGTCACAGACAGATACATACTGTACAGTCCTCATTGCCAATAGGAGTTAATCAATGAAGTATGGTAACATACTTAAAATTATACTAAAGTAAAGGTTGGTATTATGCAAAAAATGTTTAATGAAAATGAAGTGCAGTTGAAAATCGATAGTTCAGTAGAGAACCGATCGCTGTAAAAATGACTACAATTTTCATAAACTACAACTTTGTCAGAAATTTAAAGGGTAATGAAATTTAGTCAGAAGTGGAAACTTACTGATGGACGTAAATATAGACAAAACCAGTTTGTTAATGAGTTTGTTAGCTTGATGATCTCTTAGATAATACGCTTGTAAGTGTGCCTGAGGTTATCAGTGTTAATTATGACAACTGAAACACATAGCTAAGGCAATTGTACCGTTTTTTGTGAGTCTTTATTATGTAGATGGTAGAAGGTGAAATGTTATTGCACATATCACGAGAAAAAGTTTTCCTTTTCAAGTTGGTTTGAACTATAAATCT